CTTCATCTTTTCGTGAGTACTCAGTAGCCAAACCCTTCAGACCCTACTCCTCATTACCTCAGTGTCCCAGCCCATTCCCTTTGATTATAACCCTCATATGGGACCTTCTCACCCCCTCAGCTGTTGCGATAGGAAGGCTGCACTGACAGCTTCGCTCTAGACACTTGGCCGGTGTTTTTGTTTATCTCAAGCTCCAGCTGTTTGAGATATCAGAACAAGCCCTCAAAAAATGCTGAATTTGGCTGGTTGTGGTGGCAGCACGACTTTAATCCCAGTGCTCATGCTAAGCAAGTACTTCACCACTAAGTTACATCCATCCCCAGAGTTGACGTCAGTGTTCCCGCTGATTCGGTCACAGCCCCTCCTTGTGCTGGGTCTAGGCCTATGTGGCCAGCTCTGGCCTGGGTTTCTAGTGTATCACAATGTGCCTCATCACCATAGGGGCACGTGGGCAACCTTTGCAACCTGTCCCGTCCACGTCAGAGGCGGCTGAGGAATGCGGATGCCTTTGCCCCTCTCAAGCACCTGCCTACCCCTCGCCCTGGAACGCGTTTCTCTTCTCTCACATTCTGGTCAGATTGGCTTTCCTCCCGGTATCTTTTTTTGTTGGTTTGTTTTTATTTTTTTGAGACAAGGTTTCTCTGTATTGTTTTGGAGGCTGTCCTAGAACTCACAGAGATCCGCCTGCCTCTGCCTCCGGAGTGCTGGGATTAAAGGCGTGCGCCACCAACGCCCAGCCCCTCCCCGGTCTCTTATGTCAGGCCCTTTTCTTACAGCTGTGATAAAATGCCTAACACAGGCAATTTAAGGAAGGCAGGGCGGGGCTTGGGCTCAGCCTGAGGCGATGGCCCCTGAAGTGGGGAAGTGATGGCCTCGGGAGTGAGGGCAGCTGGCTGCAGCGTTCGTTTGTGGAGTCACGAAGCAGACGATGACGGGAACACTGGTGTTCAGCCCTTTTTGTTGTTGTTGTTGTTTTTAACGAGATAGGGTTTCTCTGTATTGTTTTGGAGGCTGTCGGTCCGGCCCAGCCTGGAATTCACAGAGATCCGCCTGCCTCTGCTTCCTGAGTGCTGGGATTAAAGGCCTGCGCCACCACCGCCCGGCTACCCTTTCCTCTTTTTCATTCAGGGCAGGACCCCAGCGTCACGTGTGACGCCAGCCATACCCAGGGTGCCTTCTCCTCATCTCGGTGAGCTCAACCTGGAAACGCCCTCACCGACGGACGCATCTAGAGGTCCGTTTCCATGGTGATTCTAAGTCTCAAGTTGGCAGTCCTGCGCCCCCTTTATTCCCCCAGCCTCATAAAACCTCCTAAAGTCTTGATGCCTTCTTGTCCTGCGGTTCAGGGAATCAAAGCCAGGGCCTCAGGCGTGCCAGGCAAGGGTCCTCCCCCAGAGCATTGCCCCTAACCCTTGACACACTCTCATGGAAACACGCTGCATCTGGGCATCTGCAGTTTTTCTTGGTCCTTCGGCTCCTAAAAGACAGGAATTTGCCTCACAGGAGTCTCCCCGTGTGTCTGGTTTACCGTTGTCGTGACAAAATGAGGTCACTTAAAAGGAAGATTTACTTTGGCCCCTGGTTTCAGTTCATGGTCCCTGGGACCGATCATCTGAGTCCGTCCGTGGCAAGGCAGAGCGTGGCAGGGAGTGAGGAAGCCACAGAGCACCCTAGAGAGAGGGGAGGGTGGCGATAAGTCTGCCAGGTCATCATGTGTCTTCCAATCAGCCCTACCGTCTAATGTCCCTGCTGCCTCCCAAGAGCACCATCAGCTTGGGGCCAGGCTTCCACACATGGGCTTTCATGGGACATTTCAAGATGGTGGTACCCATGAGGGATCCATTTCAAGACCTCTGCAAATGCCTAAAGCAACAAACAGCGATACACACACACACACACACACACACACACACACACACACACGTTTATTGTGGTGGTGAATTCCCCTGAGAACGTCAAAATCCGGCAGTGTGTATCACACAGGTAGAGCCTGATGTTCAGGATGGGCCAATCAGCAGGATTTCTAGTGGCGAGCATGGGCACCAGGACCCCCAGACTCTTGGGCTTTGCAGGGACAGTTTGGTTACTAACAGGGTCATGTCTTTTTTTTTTTTAATGTTTTTTAACTCTGTGTGAGTTTTTCCTACATGTTATGTCCGTACACCATGTGTGTGCTTGGTGCCTATGGAGGCCAGAAGAGGGCGCCAGATCCCCTGGAACTGGGGTTATAGATGGTTGCGAGCCACTACGTGGGTTCTGGGAATTGAGCCCAGGTCTTCAGAAGAGCCGCTGGTGCGGTTATTGCCTGAGCCTTCCCTCTACTCCAAGGCTTTTTCAAACCTCGTCCGCATGTTTCTAGTACTAGGCCACCAGGGCGTTGCAGATGGGTTGTCGGAGGGCATGAAACTGGACCACATGACCACCGCACTTCACGACGACGTGGAGGTCCACACCGGCAGACTGTTCTTTTGTCTCCAGCCACTTGTATTTCAGCGTGTGTGGCTCCATCACCACTAGGGGGCGCCTGTTCATCTTCGTGAACTGTCTCTCCATTTGCGTTGTGCCGCGGTTGTGTTGTATTCTTATGGCTGAAGACCTGCTTGGACTGGAAGCAGATGCTGCGTGGATGGCCTGGCTCGGACTGCAGACCCTGGCACACGCTGCAACCATTGGTAGTTTAATCTTAATCGTCAACATGACTGGATTTAGAATCACCGTGGGAACGCACTGCTGGGTGTATCTGTGAGGGTGTTTCCAGGAAGGTCACCATGGAAACGCACTGCAGGGTGTATCCGTGAGGGTGTTTCCAGGGAGGTTTAAGTCAGGAGGGACAACCTGCTCTAACTATGAGCTGTGCTAGCGTGTGGCCTAGGGGGTCCCAGATTGAACAAAAGGGAGAAAGAAAAAGACCTTCCTGGCGTCTCGGAGGGAGACACAGGGCCTGAGAGCCAACAGAAGATTTGACCCGTCCCAGTGCCCCGCCAGCAGGCAGCAAGGCACTCTGAACATTAGGCAGCTGCCTGTTCCCTGACCCGATTCATGTGACCAGTGGCCTCCCCACTCCTGCCACCGTGCCTTCCCCGCCGTGACAAACTGTCTCCCCACAGACTCTAAAGCAAGACAAACCCTTCCTTAAGCCACTGCACGCCAGCTGTGCGACCACAGCAACAGGGAACTAACACACACACACACACACTCTCTCTCCCTCTCTCTCTCTCTCTCTCTCTCTCTCTCTCTCTCTCTGGTATCCCTGTGCACATGAGCAGTGTGAGGGACCAGTGCACACTTGTATCTGCACACACACACAGTGCAGGGAACTAAACACACACTCGTATCCGTGTGCACATGAGCGGTGCATTTTCATATGTAAAATAAAGCTTATTCAGTAACGGTAATAAGACAGAGGTGCATTTTCATGTATTAACCAAAGCTTATCCAGTACCGGGTAATAAGATAGAACTCCATAGCGACGCGTTATGAAAGTTAGGAGCGGGGGCCAGCAAGGCGGCTCAGCAGGTCCCGTGTGTGCTGGGGAAAGCTTGCGACCCGTTTGGTTCCTGGAGCCCAAGGAGAGAACAAACCCATGACAGTTGTTCTTTGGTCTCCACATATGTGTGTCACAGCGTGTGTTCAGCCACACACACAGGTGCATGCGTGTTCGGCCTCCCATGCACATGTGAGCGTGAGTGCGTGCACGTGCACACACACAGACACGCACACACGGTGTCTTATGTGATAGCCAACCACTTTCCCCTTTCTTTCCTAAGCCTCAGTCCTCACCTTTGCACTGACTTTGGTGTGTACAAGTCTCCTCCCCCCCTCCCACTGGGGCCTTAGTTAAAACAAGGGTCATTAGGACACAGGCTCTCACTGCAGTGACAATCTAACTAAGTACCTCAGTGACAGCCGGGGTGGTGGTGGCGCACGCCTTTAATCCCAGCACTCTGGAGGCAGAGGCAGGTGGATCTCTGGGAGTTCGAGGCCAGCCTGGTCTACAGAGTGAGTTCCAGGACAGCTTCCAAAACAGTACAGAGAAACCCCGTCTCAGGAAGAAAAAAAAAGTACCTCAGTGACTACATGGGCAGGTGGCGAGTACGGTGTGTGTGAGAGACACTGGGCAAACCTGGAGCAGGATGGAGTGAGGCCAGGTGAGTCCTCACAGGAGGCTCGGAACGGTATAAAACTCGACGCTTGTCACGCTGGATGTGGTGGGCCACGTGTGCAGCCTCAGCACTCAGGAAGGTGAGGCAGGGGCTAGTCGAAGAATTCGAGGCCAGCCTGGGCTACATAGTGAGACCATGTGTGTCCTCCTCAAGTCCTGGGTTCAGTTCCCAGCACCAAACGAGTCAGGCACAATGGTGCTTACCATTGCTGAGGCTTGAGGATTACAGAGAATTCCAGGCTGGCCTGCGCTGCAGACTGAGACCCTGCTTCAGACACTCTTGCAAAGCCTCGGGTTCAGTCCCCAGCACGGGATAAACCAGGTATGACGGTGCTTGCCTGTGATCCCAGCACTGGGGAAGTTCAAGGTTATCCTCGGGTACAGAGTGAGTCCTAGGCCAGCCTGGGATACATGGGACCCCCGTCTCTCCCCCACCCCAGACAACACAATATGTCTCCCCCCGAATTATTGTTTGTTTCTGAAATCTTCTACTGGATATTTGCAGGCTGAAGTTGCTTCCAAGTACTGATCTATGGCAGATGCCCCCTAAAATGAGAGGCCCGTCGGAATTTGTAGCCCCGTGTTCAGCGCGATTCGGTCCCCGTCGTGGCGTTCTGCAGCCAGGCGGCGCTGCGAAAGAGCCAGACAGCCACCTGCAGGAGCCAAACCTTCCACCAGGAGGCGAAGGTCTCCAGGCTGACCCCAGAGTCAAGTCTTCAAGAGGTGGCTGGCCCCAGGTCTCTCCCCAGCGACTGATGATGCCGAACCCTACGGTTCTGTGATTGGTTTAGCCGAAATGAGCCAGGCGGCTATTGGAGATGCTCCTCCGTGGAACCGTGATGCGGATCTGGGAGGAAGCTGGGCACCCGGGACTCGGAGGGAGCTCCCACTTACGGAGGGTGTGAAGGTATGGACCATGAGCAGAAGCCAGGAGCCGGGCTGCTGCACCTGCTGCAGCTTCTGTGGCTGCTGCCCCACTCCTGGGCGGTGCCCGGAGGTAAGACCCTGGCTCCCCGCTGCGTGCGTCTGCCCCGAGGGCGGAGAAGACGGGAGGGGCTCTGTGGCAGCGGACGCGGGAACACACTTCGGGGAGAGGGGTGCTGTTAACGCGCGGCGAGCAACCCAGGTATTTCACACGCTCCGTCGGAGCGCTGGCGACTTTTCAGACGAAGAAAGCCGGCTTGGGAGACCGGTGCAGATTCGCAACGTCGGGGGGAAACGTCAGAGGGGTTGGAACGAAGTGAGAGCCAAGCGTGTGTGATCCCCAGCCCTTAGAGAAGCGTGGGCGCGGTGATCCAGAGTCCACGGCCAGCCTCGGCTGCAGAGCCAGACCCGGTCTCAGGCGTCCTGCACAGCAGAGACTCACATTCCTCCAGTGACAGCATCCTACCCTAGTCTGCCGTCCTTGACACGCCTCTTAGTTTCTTCTCGGGTACAGCTGGGGAAGGACGCCAGCCACCCGGAAGGTCCCCTCACAGTGTCTGTCGTTCTGGGTGTGTGTTGCAAAGGTTCCTTCCGTCCGGGGGGATCCCTGTCAGGGGTCTCAAACATTGCTCTTCCCCGCGGCCAGGAGTTGAGGCCCCCCGGGTTCTGTCAGTGCGCTGTCTGGAGTGTTTGGAGTCCGGGGAAGAGGCCGCCAGAGAGGCCAGGTGGCAACCGAGTGGGGAGGAGGTCCAGAGACTGCCTTCCCTTATTCACTGTGCACATCATCAAGGAGGCCATGGCCCTGCCCCACACCTCTCAAGGCAGGACTCACACCCACGGCTTCCGAAGTAGATGGAGGCATCCAGTGTGCTGGGCTTGGCAGGAGTTCAGGCTCACTGCAGGGGGGGGGGCGGCGGTGCCTGAGAGCAGTGCGGGGAATCAGCAGCAGAGCCACTGAGGTCTGTAGCTTCCTTCCGGGGGACTTCTGCTTTCCTTTTTGTTTGGTTTTCCCGGCGCAGTCTCGTGACCCCCCCCCCCAGGCTGGCTATACGTAGCGGAGGCTGAGTTTGGACCCTCGATGCCCCCTCCCTTGACCTCCCAAGTCCTGGCACCACAGATGTGTGTCACCCTGCCTGGCTCTGCCCTTTCCAGGACGTAGACAGTTGCTTTTCTGTCTATGTGTAAGGTTCGGAAGATCCCCTTAATTTCTCCTCCTGCTGCTTAGGACAGACCTAAGAGGCAGGTGCTGGAGGGGTGGGGCCATGTCTCTACTGCAACCCCCACAATGGAGACCTTACTGTTTTCTACCTTAAAGAGAGATTCCCTCAGGCTGGAGAGATGGATCAGCGGTTAAGAGCACCGGCTGCTCTTTCCAGGGGTCCTGGGTTCAATTCCCAGCACCCACATGGTGGCTCACAACCATCTGTAATGAGATCTGGTGCCCTCTTCTGGCCTGCAGGGACACATGCAGACAGAATGCGGTACACATAATAAATAAATAAATCTTAAAAAAAAAAAAAACAGAGATTCCCTGGAACCCACCGTGCCGTTGCAGCTCCTGCTCTGGTGTCGCGGGACGGCCTGCAGAACCACACATTCCGGCACACCGTGTTCTGCCAGGATGGGAACCCCAGCATAGGGCTCTACGAGTCCTACGACGAAGACCAGCTCTACTCCTACGACTTCTCCCAGAACACCCGAGTACCCCGGCTGCCTGACTTTGCCGACTGGGCTCAGGAGCAGGGAGACGCCCTCGCCATTTCGTTTGACAGAGAGTTCTGCGAGATGTTGATGCAGAACATTAGCCCGGTGTTGGAAGGGCAAATCCCAGTGTCCAGAGGTCGGGAACAAAGAGTGGAGTTTGGGGGCGGGGTGGCGGGCGGGGCTACAGTCTTCCTCCCTCCCCCCAAACTTCTCCTGTACATTACCTCTCATCTTTCACTCCTCCTTGTTCTGCTTGGGGACGTGGGTTTTTTTTTTTTCTTTTTGGTTTTTCGAGACAGGGTTTCTCTGTAGCTTTGGAGGCTGTCCTGGAGCTCACTCTGTAGACCAGGCTGGCCTCGAACTCACAGAGATCAGCCTGCCTCTGCCTCCCAAGTGCTGGGATTAAAGGCGTGCGCCACCACTGCCCGGCTGGGGACGTGGTTTTCTTTTCTGCTTCAACCCTTCTCCCCATCAGCTGCAGTCTGTGTGCTGAGTCTGCGGCCGGAGGGGAGGCAGTCGAAGGCACTGAAAGTCTACTGAACTTTTTTTATGAAGTTACACGGGGACCAGCTGGCCCCGCTGCTGCTGAATGGACACCAGCATTCTCTTTGCCTTGCCAGCAAAATGGAGGGGGAGGGGAGAATGGAGGGATCCAGGGGGTGGTGAGCTTGAGCTTCACAAGAAGCCCGCGTCGGATGCTGACCTGGATACAGGCAGGACGTCAGCCTGGCCACAGACAGGAAGTCGGGCAGAGGGAGGGGTCCCCGGTGTCCTAAGCTGCGGTTCCGCCGCAGGGGAAGTCTCTTCTTGGAGTCCCAGATTTCCTCGCCTCCGTCTTGGCTCCATCCCTGTCCTCCCCTCCACGTGTCTCAGCTCTCTCCAAACAGTGGCACTGTTCAAAACGTCTCCCTCCTTCCCCCCCAACCGTGTCTGCCCCTCCCCTCCCCAGGTTTGCCTGTGCCCGAGGTGTTCACGCTGAAGCCCCTGGAGTTCGGCAAGCCCAACACGCTGGTCTGCTTCATCAGCAATCTCTTCCCGCCCACCTTGACTGTGACTTGGCAGCGTCACTTCGTCCCCGTGGAGGGGGCCAGCCCCACCTACATCTCCGCCGTCGATGGGCTCACCTTCCAGGCTTTCTCCTACTTAAACTTCACGCCGGAACCCTTTGACCTTTACTCCTGCGTCGTGACACACGAGATTGACAGCTACACCCCAATTGCCCACTGGGGTGAGGCGCTTTCCCCTGGAAGTCGGGTCCTTGGGGGGGGGCGGTTGGTGGAAAGGCTCAAGCCCGTGGGAGGGGCCCTCCTGTGTAGTCTCACTCTAGCCAACTTCAAGCTTCGCTGCCTCAGTTTCCCCTCGTGATTCCCCCAGTTCTCCCCTGGGCGGATGCGCCCCCAGCCTGGCCTCCAGGCCAACCTCAACTCTTTCTGCTCTAGTACCCCAGAACGCCCTGCCTTCAGACCTCCTCGAGAATGTGTTGTGCGGTTTGGCCTTCGGCCTAGGGCTGCTGGGCATCGTCATGGGCATTGCGTTCTTCATCTGGTCCCAGAAGCCATGTTCGGTTGGTAAGTAACTTGGGAAAGCGAGGGAACCATTGTGGGTATGCCAGGATTGTCTCCTCTGGTCATGGGGGGGGGCATACCGCGATACACAGGCCCTTGGGTATGAAGGCCTGCGTACAGCATGATGGGGGACCAAATCCTGCTGTCTGGGGACACTGTTACACGCGGTTTTCGGGGACCGCAGAAATAGCTTCGAGTAGGGGGTGCGGCTAACCGGGGGGCCTGTACGAAAGACACCCGGGGGCTGGAGAGATGGCTCAGAGGTTAAGAGCACTGACTGCTCTTTCCAGGGGTCCTGAGTTCAATTCCCAGCAACCACGTGGTGGCTCACAACCATCTACAATTCAATCCTGTGTTGTTTTTCTGGCATATAGGCAGAACACTGTATATGTAATAAATAAATAAATCTTTAAAAAATAAAAAAAGAGAAAGACACCCGGAAGGGCAGAGGGTGGATACGAAGGGGCTGGAAAATGAACGGGGTGGAGAGACACAAAGAATGAATAAAAAGGAGGGGGGGGAAGATGCCGGGAGTCGGCCTGAGAGCAAGGGCTCAGCTGGGTGTGCTGCGGGGGCGGGGGGGGGCGGGGGGGGGAGGAAGAGGTCCTCCAGGTGACATTCCTTCTCCCTGCTCTTTCCTCAGACTGAGTCTTCTGTGACTAGCGCTTGGAACAGCACAGGCCTTGCCAGCAGGGATGCCCAGGGTTCCCGTGCCTAGCCAGGGCCTCTCATCGGAGCAGAAGTCCCCGGGGACCCCTCGGGGTGTGGCGCCAGTGTGCAGGGTGTCTCGGCTGAGGGCTCTGCTGTCCCTGGAGTTGCATTCAGAAGAGCCCGGATCTGGAGCCCAGGACACCACTCCTCACCACCTCACGCTCCCCACTTCGAAGAAATAAACCTTCTTTCTTAACATTAGCTTGACCTCTCTCTCCCTTCAGCGCTAGGCAAGCATTCTGCCCCAAGCCGCACCCCAGCCCACCGTGCCTTCTTCTTCTTCACTTGTAGGATTCGCTTCTGGACTCCCGACTCATTTCAGAGTCTGCGTACCTTATCCTGGACACGGCTCATTAGGGAGGGAAAGCCGCTCTCCCAGCCCAGCTCCTGTCTCCTGATCTCAGCACAGCTGATGGTGGCTTTTTATCCCATCAGCTTGCGTAAAACACAGGAGAGGAAGGTAGAGAGTTTCCAATAATCAATAAAATGCTTGAGGAAGTTGCACTTGTTTTTGGTCCCCCTCCTCCCATGCTAAGCTGCTGGTGAAGCTGTTTATACCTAGCTCCCTTCAGGGCTCGGGGTACCTGGGAAAATGGGAGCTGCTCTCTGATTGGTCAGTTCAGTACAGACATCCTCTCTGAGCCCCTAAGGAGAAGCGGGAGCAGCCAGTGAGGGCGCAGGGCAGAGAAGCACGTGGTCTCCCAGGCAGTGGCCTCGCGAACTCTCTCAGGACAACTGTGGGATGCTGTCCCGGGCGGGTGGTGGGAGCCGGCTGCACACGACCACTGCTGGTAAACTGCGTCACACACACGTTTTTGTCTTTTGCTTCCCGGGGGGGTGTGGGAGTTGCCGTGGAGGCAGCTGAGGCTGAACTCACGAAATTAGTTTGGTATCGGCAAGGCCATCTCCGTTTCTCCTACTGTATCAGAGTCTAAGGGAAACCATCCAGGTCTTCCCAGGCGTTGGCTCTTCCACTGGACCGAGTCATTTCTAAGAGCAGAGTGCGCTCCTGATAAGGACTGTGGGAGAGTTTCCCTGTGTGCCCTCGGATGAGTGACTCGCTGTCTCTACTCCTTCACGTCAACTTTCGTTGGGGGTTGGATGATAGCAGTTGGTGTCCCCCTGTAGAGCTGTTGTAACCCTAGTGACTATTTGTTTCTGTGATGCTCTGCTTTTCCCGTTTTCTGTATGCACACACACGTGTTTTTTTTTTTTGCATGCGTGTGTGGGTGCGCAGCTATGTGGAACCCTCTCTCCTCCTCCAATCTTCCACCTTATGCACCGAGACAGTCACTCATTCAAATCGAGGGCTCACCGACATGGCTAGTCTTGCTAGCCAATGCGCTCTGAGCATCTCTCTCTCTCTCTCTCTCTCTCTCTCTCTCTCTCTCTCTCTCTCTCTCTCTCTCTCTGACCTCTGAGGGTGGAATTACTAGTGGGCCACCGCACCATGTCTCCGTGGCCTTCCCCTGGGCTCTGGGGATCAGAACTCTGGCCCTCGTGCTGTGCGGCAAAAGCTTTCTAGCTGCCAGCCCCTCGTGCAGGGTAAGGGCTCTAACCACTTGTCAGCATCCTTCTGTGGATCCTAAGTTAGCATCTGAAGATTGCTGGGGACAGGTTCCCAGGGAGAAAGGGCAGGGGACAGCGTCTTTGTCATTTGTCTGCCGCGTCACAGGACTTAACTGCCCCAGTAAATTTCGTCTGCCTTTAAATTTTTTTGATTTTTAAAAACGTGTGTGTGTGTGTGTGCGCGTGTGTGTGTGTGTGTGCGCGTGTGTGCGCGTACGTGTGCTTTGCCTGCCTATATGCCGGTGTACCACATGCATTCGTGGTGTTGCCAGAAGTGAGAAGGCATTAGATCCCCTGGTTCTGGAGTCAGACGCGGTTGTGAGCAGCCATGTGCGTGCTCGAGTCAGCCCGGGTCCTCCGGAAGAGCAGCCAGTGCTCTTGACCGCTGAGCCTTCTCTCCAGCCCGGTTCACCTCTATCTTCAGTATTTGATTTTCTCCCTTGGAGAAGTTTTTGTTTTTATCCTCATTTTACCTTTGTGGATCTGGTCTATATTGCTTTCTGGTTTCTGTTCTACTTAAATGTATCCAGCAGTTTCCTGCCAATCAAAGCTTAAAACTGATTGCATTAATTATTATCTATTATATTATTATTAGTGAGAGAGAGAGAGAGAGAGAGAGGAGACAGGGTCTCACTGTGTATGGCTCTGGCCAATCTGAAACTTACCATGTAGACCAGGATGGTTGAAGGTGGGGGTTTAAATGAGTTTGGCAGACCCAAGATAAATGATAATAGGTGTTTATTAGGGAAGGACAAACGTAGATAAGAGTAAATCACCGCCAAGGTCTTCTTGCTCCAGAAGATGCAGTCTCTGCTCTTCCTACGCTCTCCACAACCCAAGAGAGCATGCACCCCCCTTCCTCTACCTTAAGGGGTCACAGCTGCCCTGAAACCATGCCCAAAGGGTGTGGCCACTACTACAGGTTCACTGGCAAAGCAAGATGCCAGGACAGCTGGCCTGGAACTCCCAGGAGGTCTACCATCTCTGCCTCCGGAGTGCTGGGATTAAAGACGCAGCACTTTACCAGATTTTTACCTGCTGTATCCAACTCTTGCTAACTCCTCTCCGAGCCTCAAGTGACGGACTAGGACTACACGCTCGCTCATCAAGTGATGTATGAGCCATAAGGACCCCAGCTGGCCTTGAACTTGCTGTGCAACTGAAATGCACCCCCTTCCCCCGAGTGCATCCCCCTGCGGCTGGGATTGCAACGGATACTACCTGCTAGCTTCTCTGTCAGCCATTCTTGCATCCGTGTACAAGCCTGGATGACCCTGCTTAGCTTCCGGATGGAGGAGGGGGGTTGAGTGCCTCAGGAGGAAGGGATTTGGACTCCTGCAGAGCACTCCAGGACAGGCTAACTTAACCCAGAAGCTTCGGGAGCTGTCCTCAGCCTGGTGCTCTCTCTCCTTTGAGTTGAAGTCCCGTGCAGACCAGCCTGGCCCTGAACTCCCAATGTAGCTGAGGATAACTTTGAATCATTCCTCCTCCTGCCCCTCCCCCAAGAGCTGGGATTGCCTGGATGTGGCTCCTTCTCCTAGGGTGGAAACATTACCCAACAGGAATCCCATTCCCGGGCAAATCCCTTCCTCATTCTTCCTTGGTGGAGCCAAGCCTGTCTTCACTGTAGCTTGTTCCTATCTCAGACAAACCCAGGTCCAACTCGCGCTCAGCTCCTAGGAACCTGCCCCCCCCATCCCATCCTGCAGCCCCTACTCCGTCTTTCTCTGAATTTTCAAGGACAGACTTTTCAGGATAATGATTTTTTTTTCAAAACCTGGTTTCTCTGTATTGTTTTGGAGGCTGCCCTGGAACTCGCTCGGTACACTACGCTGGCCTCGAACTCAAAGAGATCCGCCTGCTTCTGCCTCCCGAGTGCTGGGATTAAAGGTGCGTGACACCAGCCGGGCGTTGGTGGCGCACGCCTTTAATCCCAGCACTCGGGAGGCAGAGGCAGGCGGTTCTCTGTGAGTTCGAGACCAGCCTGGACTACCAAGTGAGCTCCAGGACAGCCTCCAAAGCCACAGAGAAACCCTGTCTCGAAAAACCAAAAAAAAAAAAAAAAAAAAAAAAAGGTGCGCAACACCAACGCCCGGCTTGATGATGTTTTCTGAAAATGATTTTTTCACCATCAAGTTTGCAACTTTCAATTCAGAGGCCAGAGAGCGGTTATTAGAGCAAGATGGCTGCCCCTTTGTCCCCACTAACACCTGGAGTCACTAGTAATGAGTTGGGTGCTGGCAGAATCTCACGGCGGCTTTGGCTTTTCTTGTATTGATGTATAGATCGTGAGGCTGAATGCCTTCCCACGGTTCCTTTCTCTTTCAGTAACTGATTCAGACTTTTTTGTTGTTGTTGTTGACTTTGGTCATTCTTGAGGCACAATCTCCTGTGCTGGGATGACCCTGGATTCCTGGTCCCCCGGCTCCGACCTCCCAAGCGCCGGGGACTTCTGGATTCCACCACCATACCACAGCATTTTGTCCATTTCAAAACTGTGTTTTCAGCTTTTCTTTGTGACTCCCGGGGACATGATACTCTATGCAGTATCTCAGGACAGGATAGGTACTGAGAATGCTTCTGCAGGCCATGGTGGCACACACCTGTTATCAATCCTAGCTCCCGAAGACCAGCACGGTGGAACACACCTGTAATCCCAGCTCCCGGAGGCCGGCACGGTGGAACACACCTGTAATCCCAGCTCCCGGAGGCCGGCACGGTGGAACACACCTGTTAGCAATCCCAGCTCCCGAGAGGCTGTCAAAAACAAACAAACAAAAAAGTTGGCTGTTCAGCAGTGACATCTGCATACAGTTGACTGCCTGACTCCCTGAGCAGAGTTGTTTGGTTCTGGCTGTCAAAGCCCTGTGATCTGGTCCCCTGCTCTTAGTTTTGTATAGTAAATGATTGACTGGTCCAGCTTATTATTTTTTTCCGTCATAAAATGGGGCCTTGAATTAAAACCATCTGTCAGGAGAGGAAGCTGAGAGCTCACATGGAATGAGTTTAGGAAATGCCTGGAAGAGATGCCTATGGTTAAGGCCACGCCCCCAGGGACGGTATCAGTATTGGCACCTGCTTCTGTCTCAAAGAGCCCCATCCCCTTGTACACCCCCAACAGCACCTTCCAGCCCCGCCAGGCTTGGGAGTTAAGGGATGCCAGGGCTGGGCGCTAGCGCCTTCCCTTCCATGGGAATCCAGCCTGTTAGCCAAGGTCTTCCTCCATGCCCCTCCACAGAGGACGCCCTGCCCACTTGCCTGTGGTGACCTGTCTTCTGGACTTCCTGCTAACTAGCTTTGACACCAGGTTTTTTCTCTCACTTCCTGTCTGGCCCCAGATGGGGCGGTGTGGGGGCTGAGAACAGTAGCGATATATTGTTTATGATCTAATAAAGCTTGCCTGGAGGTCAGGACACAAAGCCGGCCACACTAGTCAGTCACAGAAGCTGAGCGGGTGTGGCACACACACCTTTAATGCCGGGACTCAGGAGACAGAGAGGCTGATGGGTCTCTCTGAGTTCAAGGCCACCCAGGGCAACACAAGAGTGACTCGGTCTAACAGAGAAACAGGGCTCACGCCCTTAATCCCAGTGCCGGCCGGAGAGAATGTAAGGAGCTCAGTTCGGCCTCAGGAGCCTTCAGATTCGGTGAGCAGCAGTGCAGTCTGGAGATGCAATCTGAGGTTGGGTGGATCGCCCCTTCCGTCTGAGCATTGGCAGAGTCGAGAGCTCTCAGGTGGCTGGCCGTTTTGCTTTTCCGATCTTCAGCTTGAACCCCAATGACTGCGTCTGGGTTTTTATTACCCGTGTTACAGAGAACCCATCTTTCCCAGCTGTGGCAAATGATTTTCTATAATACTTTGCACACAAGCCCCAGTGTGTCACGTGGGAACCAGGCTAGGTGGATGGTGTGTGTATGCATGGGCGCGCGTGCGTGTGTGTGTGTGTGTGTGTGTGTGTGTGTCTTCATATTGTGGTCTTGAAAGGAGGGTGTGTGGGGCCCTGGCTGGGGGTCCTGTTCCCACGTAAGGGTAAAGTGATGACGGAGGACAGGGCAGCAGAGGCGTCCCAACCAACCGGGAGGACATAACTGCGTCTGTGCCAGGAGCAGAGGAACAAGGGACCCGCTCTGCCGAGACAGGTCTCTGGGTTTTCCGCCCTGACTCTGAAAACTCCTTGTTCACAGGAATATGGAAGTGAAATCTCCCAGGGCTTCCTGTGGTGTCTCATGAGGTTTCACATCTCGTTTGACTGCTGGAGCAGAGAGCTGGACACCCGGAGGGGACTCCATTCAGCCTCACCGCCCCGGTCACGCCCACGCGTGTGTGTGTGTGTGTGTGTGTGTGTGTGTGTGTGTGTGTGTGCAAGGAAGAGGCTCAGCAGGACTTCTGTCGGGGCTGGGGGTGAAGACAGAAAATCTGACCCTGTCACAACAGCAAGTTCCTGGAGCAGAGGGAGCCCTGAGCGGGGGAGGGGCTGGGGCAGATAGCTGATGTGGGGGGTGGGTGGGAGGGGTGGGGGGTGGGTGGCGGCTCCTCTCTTCCTTCTTTTCTTAGCAGATGTGCCGCTAACTTCCGTTATCTTGGTTCATCCCAGCCCAGGATGAAGTCAGTGTGTGGTATGCTTGTGATGTGTGTGTGTGTGTGTATAGTTTCTGTGTCTGTGTATGTACACGTGTATGTGTGTGACTCTGTATGCATCTGTGTGTTTTTCTGTAGTGTGTGTGTGCTCCTGTGTATTGTGTATGTGTGTGTGTGTATGTGTGTATGACCTGTGTGTATGTATGTGTGTGTGTATATGGTCTGTGTGCATGTGTGTGAGAGTGTGTGTATGTGGGTACCTATGTGTATGTGTGTGTACCTGTGTGTGTGTGCATAGGGGTAGTATAAGGAAAGCTGTTAAAACCTGTAGACTTGGGGTGTGAACCTCCAGGCTGTTTTTTGAGTCTGCGAAAGGAAACCTCAAAGCCCTCCGAGGGGGGTGGGGAGCCAACTTAAGGCTTTGTATGCAGGAGGAGAAACTATCACCACGTAACTCACAGTTGGATGATAGAGGCAGTGGTCAGCTTTTCCCCAAGAGCTGGAGCCGAGGAGCCGAGGAGTGGGTTTCCCGGCTCACAGAGCATTTGCTATAGACGGGGAAGAGAGGGAGCCTGAAACACCACCCCAGAGGGAATGGGTTTCCAGACCCGCTCCTGCCCTCTAAGGCGGATTGCTTCCGTCTTGCTCTGACACGGTGCACACTCTGTGCCTCCTTCCTGCCCCCCAGCCCCGCCTCTGCCACCTGTGTCCTCCTCTTGAGTGACAGGAGGAGTTTATATGCTACTTCCTAGGTGACCCCCCTTCCAGAGACAAAGGAGGTTGTCTAGAAGTGATCTTTGGGGAGGGCGCGAGAGGAGAAAGTTAATTCAGTGGGCAGGGCCAGGCCTGCATATCCTGGGAATGCTTCAGCAACTACCCCAGACAGACCTCAGGAAACCACCTTACTGGGCCGTTCTCAAAGCCTAGAGCGCGAGGAGGTTTACCTAGTAACTGATGATGCTGGGCTGAGACACTCAGTGATTGGTCTGACCCGCCTACCCCAGTTTATCTGACAACTCTTTCCTTTGGGACCCGGGGTTTGGTTAGTAGTTTAGGTTCTAAGAGGGTTGAGTGATTTGGGGACACTCGTGCCGCAAGAAACAGGGGACCTGAGCAGCAGGCACCGTTTTCCCCTCACTGAGTGGAGACGTTTGTGCAGGCTGGGGCAGGAGAGGCTTGGAGGCCCCCAGCAAGATCCAGCCCAGGGGCCTGACCTTCCTGCGCCTTCACAGAGTGGAACATGGCAGTGTTCCTGCCGCTGCTGCTGGGCCTCAGTCTGGGCTGTGTGGGAGTAGGTAAGGACTCCCCGCTTGGGAACCTCCCTCTCCTCCTGGACCCCCCCCCCCCAGTCCTTCTCCCTCCCCTGCTGGAATACCCACTCCTCCTGCTGCTGTTTGGGGTAAAACATTTTTGCTAGCGGGCTTGAGTACCCCATATGAACCAATCTCGATACTGTGTAGGGCACTCCTCCAGCACGTTGGACTGTGTTTTTACGGCAGTTTTAACAAAGAGCCGGTTTTATAGATTGTGCAGTGGATGTCCCTGCTGGGGATGTAGGTTAGGGCTATATACAGCTTCATCCTGGTTCCTAGCATGGAGCCTGGCATGCAGTAAGTGCTCTGCAGATTTGCACGGGGCCAAAAGTCAAGAATATTTGCAGCATAGAGCAAGGCCGACTCTTTTTTCTTGACTCCATTTCCTTCTCTCTCCTTTCCCTACCCCTTTGTCTGTCTGTCTGTCTGTCTGTCTGTCTGTCTGTCTGTCTGTCTCTCTCTCTCTTTTCCCTTTCATTGGAGAGAGACACACTGTATAAGCCAGACTAGCCTTGGGAGGTTCCCAATATTTGAAAGAACTCACAGCAATCCTCCTGCCTCAGTGCTGGGATTACCAGTGTGCCCACCACACTTGCTTGACCCTTTATCTCCCTGTCAATAATGTGCTGCTCTGAAGGTCTGTGCCTGGGGTGGACAGCTGGGCTCACCATGCAGGGGTCAGGGGTGGAGAGCCAGGCTCACCATGCAGGGGTCAGGGGTGGAGAGCCAGGATCACCATGCAGCAGTCAGGGTCTCCCCTGTCACTCGGTCTCACATAGAGAGGAACCGGTCTGTTTTCAGTTTTGTGCACGTGAATCTCTAGCTCATTCTCAAACTGGATGCCTCTGACAGCTGTGAAAGCTAATCGAGTTGTATTGTATTACATCGGTAGAAAAGGGAGACTGACTTTAAAATACCTTTTCTGTTTTTTTGTTTTGTTTTTCAAGACAGGGTTTCTCTGTATTGTTTTGGAGGCTGTCCTGGAACTCACTCTGTAGACCAGGCTGGCCTCAAACTCACAGAGATCCGCCTGCCTCTGCCTCCCGAGTGCTGGGATTAAAGGCATGCCCTTTTCTGTTTTTAAGCTTGTTTGTTTGCTTGTTTGGGTTTGCTGTTGTGTCAAGAAAGCCTGGTAAACCGAGTCGTTTAAATGTTGTAAAACTCAAAACCACTGCAGACGGAGAAACAGTGGCCGCATTTAGTTTCAGGGCCTGGGGAGGCTGCTCAGCGGCGAAGAGAACTGACTGCTCTTGCAGAGGACTCGGGTTCAGTCCCCAGAACTCACACGGTGGCTCACAGCCGCCTGTGACTCCAGTTTCAGGGGGGCCTGAGGCCGGTTTTCTGGCCTTTGATGGCACCAGGCTCAAATGTGGTGTGCACACATGCATACATGCCTTCAGAGCACCCCCCCACAAAACAAAATAAACACATCTTTAAAAAGCAAATAGTCAAGTATCGGGTTGAAAACTGGAGGATGGCGTCTAAAAATGTCTCTGCTGCTGCTGTCTTCCCCTTTCCGGAGGCTGCCCGAGCCCCCAGCGTGGCCCCACCCTCTCCTGGGCTGGACAGACAGACAGACAGACAGACAGACACACACACTCCTGTTGAGTCCCCCACCCTCTCCTGGGCTGGACAGACAGACAGACAGACAGACAGACACACACACACACACCTGTTGAGTCCCCCACCCTCTCCTGGGCTGGACAGACAGACAGACAGACAGACACACACACACACACACACACACACACACACACACTCCTGTTGAGTCCCCCACCCTCTCCTGGGCTGGACAGACAGACAGACAGACAGACAGACAGACAGACAGACAGACAGACACACACACACACACACACACACACTCCTGTTGAGTCCCCCACCCTCTCCTGGGCTGGACAGACAGACAGACAGACAGACAGACAGACACACACACACACACACACACTCCTGTTGAGTCCCCCACCCTCTCCTGGGCTGGACAGACAGACAGACAGACAGATAGACAGACAGACAGACAGACACACACACACACACACACACACACACTCCTGTTGAGTCCCCCACCCTCTCCTGGGCTGGACAGACAGACAGACAGACAGACAGACAGACAGACAGACACACACACACACACACACACACACACTCCTGTTGAGTCCCCCACCCTCTCCTGGGCTGGACAGACACCCTACAGTCCAATTCAGTGCTGACTCTACAGAAGTTAACACAGGCCGGCCGACTGAAGGCTCAACCCCACGACATGGTCCCCACTGCCCGACGACGTGACAAGCTCGAGCAGTAAACTCAGGGTCGGCCACAGCTGTCCATCTAGAGCTGAGCTAGAGCCCCTTGGCTTGGGTATAGAGAAGGAATGCAATCCACGCAAATGGTTTATTATAGCTCGCTCATTGGGGGAGTTCGTCCGCGTGTCCGTGTGTGCGTCTGTGTGTGCGTGCCTGCTTATCTGTGTGTTCACTACGTCCGTGTGCGCCCCTGGGGAACTCAGAAGGGCATCAGACTCCCTGGAGCTGGGGTTACAGTGATCCCCTGTCTGTGAGTGCTCCTGTCTGGACCCTGTTCCTCTCTGAGAGCATCGTGTGCTCGTAACCACTCAGCCACATCTCCAGCCCCACAAGCAATATTTGAAAGAACAAAGCAGGGGGAGGGGGTTCATAGGAGGAAGACCAGACAGACTCCAGGTACAGTAGCTTCTGCCGCCATGGGGCTGGGGTATGCTAACCCCTCAGCATATGGGTATGATCATCAACTGGGAAGGTGTCAGAGCCCCACAATTCAGGTTTTTAAGGCTTCAGCAAATAGTATTTATTTATTTATGTTTCGTTCTTTTCAAGACAGGGTTTCTCTGTATTGCTTTGGAGCCTGTCCTGGAACTCGCTCTGTATGTTTGAGGCTGGCTTCAAACTCACAGAGATCCACCTGCCTCTCTTAGAGGGCTGAGATTAACGGTGTCAACCACCAGCGCCCGGCGACAGGATTTATCTATTTAAGATTTATTCATTTATTATGCATACAGAGCAGGACTTATTTTTTAACCCAGCCTCCAGCCCCTACCCTGCTTCTCCACAAGGATGGGGATATGAATCTCGGGCTTCTAATCATGGCTCAGTGTCTCCAGTGATTACCCACCCCCTCTGGTTCCACCAAGGTTTACCCCCGCTAGGAGAAAAGACCCTGTGGTCACCCAGTTCCCAGGGATTGACAGCTCTGTCAGGAAACACGTTAAAGGCCAGACGTTTAGGACAGAAAATGCGTCTGCTCCCTACTCCCACCGCTCAGGCAGTTGCACGGATTTAAGGAACTTCGCGCCTGCATCTAAGGGCAGAGACCCCATTGGCTATCGCGCGCGCGTGCGGCAAGCAGACACTGACCCCGTCTTCCGTTTCCTGGCTCCTCCAGGTGGCTTTGTGGCTCATGTGGAAAGCACCTGCCTGTTGGACGACAGTGGGACGGCAAAGGACTTCACATACTGTGTTGCCTTCAACAAAGATCTGCTGGCCTGCTGGGACCCGGAGGAAGGAAAAATAGTTCCCTGTGAATTTGGGGTGCTGTACAACTTGGCTGTATTCATTTCAGATAACCTCAATGAAAATAAGGCCCTGCTCGAGCGCTTGGGCAACGGGCTTCGGGACTGTGCCACACACACCCAGCCCTTCTGGGATGCGCTGACCCAGAGAACAAGTGAGCCGGGCAGGGGCGGGGGGGGGGCGGGAGGTGCAGGGAGTGCAGAGGGGCGGCTGGGAAGCATGGCCAGGAGGGCAGAACACAGGTAGATTCTTGAGTATTAGAAGGGTCGATAGCAGCCGGGCATTAGTGGCACACGCCTTTAATCCCAGCACTCGAGAGGCAGAAGCAGGCGGATCTCTGTGAGTTCGAGGCCAGCCTGGTCTACAAGAGCTAGTTCCAGGACAGCCTCCAAAACAATACAAAGAAAAAAAAAAAGGGTCGACACCTGAGCAGGAAGAAGAAACAATGGGTGGGCCTGATGTAGGAAGAGGAAGGCTGCCCATTGAGGGGAAGAGCATGGGTAAACTCGGATAGAACAGAAGATGGATGGGCATAAAGAGAAGGCGCCGACATGAGGGCCAGAAGCAGCAGCCACAGCGCCTTAGGGCCCAGGTCAGAGTCAGAAAACCCCCAGTGACTTCCCCGAAGATGTACCTGTCTCTTATTTTTGTTAAAGAATTTTTGTTTTTTCTCTACTGGGGATTGAACTTAGGGCCTTGAACATGCCGGACAAAACCCTCTGCCACTGAGCTATGTCCTAGCCCCCTTCCTCCTATTTGTTCCTGGTCGGGGGGGGTCTCCCTTGAACTTGCAACTCTCCTGTTTCATCCTCCCAGTGAAGCTGGGATTACAGGCCTGGGTCCCTAGCCTGGTTCTTTAGCTCAGGTTTTGTTGTTCCATATTTGGAATGGGTGCAGACTCGGGGGATATCTGGAGGTGTTCCAGGGATGCCGAGGCCATCTTTCTCCTTCCCCAAATCCTTACCTTGACAACATCCCGCGAGGACCGCTTCAAGTTTGTATAAGCAGACTTCCGAAGGTCAAAGCCCTGTGTCATAAGATGTGGTTTCTTTTTCTTTTCTTTTCTTTTTCTTTTTTCTTTTTTTTTTGGTTTTTCAAGACAGGGTTTCTCTGTGGCTATGGAGGCTGTCCTAGAACTTGCTTGGTAGTCCAGGCTGGCCTCAAACTTACAGAGATCCACCTGCCTCTGCCTCCTGAGTGCTGTTCTTTTTTTTTTTTCCTCGAGACAGGGTTTCTCTGTATTGTTTTGGAGGCTGTCCTGGAACTCGCTCTGCAGACCAGGCTGGCCTTGAACTCACAGAGATCCACCTGCCTCTGCCTCCCGGGTGCCGGGATTAAAGGCGAGCGCCACCACTGCCCGGCATAAGATGTGGTTTCTGAGCCACCTTTTCAGCTTTACTCGGCCGGAAGTCACCAGAAGCCACTGTAGTCGGGGAGACAATACTTTAGGCGAAGCTGAGGGAGTTTGCATTTTAACATAGCTTCTTAGATTTTTCACTTAAGATATTGCTCAAAAAGTACCCTGAAAGAGGCGAGCGGGAGTGGGGGCGGGGGGACCCACCTGGGAGGGTGAACTGGTAGAAGATGGCAATTTTAATTCCATCACCAGGCATGGTGGTACAGACCTGTGGTGCCAGCACTTGGCGGGATGCAGGAGGCCAGGAGTTAGGACCATCCCTAGCTACACAGTGAGCGTGAGGCCAGCCTGGGCTATCGTATGAGACCACCCCACCCCCATCTCAGAAAACACACAGATTCTGTCCCGACAGCTCGTAACCCAGGTGGCATAGGGCAATTGTGATCAGACACGACTTGGGAGGAGAAAAGAAAGAGGGGAGGGCATTCTGTTTCCTCCTCTAACTCAGTGGCTGGAGAAATCTTTGACGGGATGGAACGGGGCTTCCTTCTAAACCGTGACTGCTTCTCCCACGCAGGACCGCCGTCGGTTCAAGTAGCCCAGACTGCTCCTATTAACACGAGGGAGCCTGTGATGCTGGCCTGCTACGTTTGGGGCTTCTACCCGGCGGATGTGAACATCTCCTGGATGAAAAACGGGAATTTTGTCATGCCCCACAGCATCAAGGAGAGCTCTGCCCAGACCAATGGGGACTGGACGTACCAGACTGTCTCCTACCTAGCCTTAACCCCCTCCTACGGGGACATCTACACCTGTGTGGTACAGCACAGTGGGACCCCGGAGCCCGTCCGTCAGGACTGGAGTAAGTGTGGGGGGGCTGGGACGCCGGTGGCTGGGGAAGAGATGTGGATGTTTTGGCCGAGTGAGACAGGGATGGGTGCCTGGTGCATGGTAGGGAAGGGGATGCCGGGGTGGGAAGCTTGAGGGTTTGCAACCAGAGTTAAGGTCATGAACTAAGGTGCCCCCTTCTGGCCTGCAGGCAGACATGCAGGCAGAGCACTCGCATACATAAAACAAATAAATAAATCTTTAAAAAATTGAGGAAGGGGAAGGGCAGCTAGGAAAAGTCAGGGGGGCCTAACTGGCTGGTGAGCGGGGCCTTCCCCTGTGGGGAGTGTGTGTCTGCAGTTGGTTCTAGTGGGTCCCTGGGAAGGGATGGTGTCCTGGTTAGGGTCACTACTGCTGTGAGGAAACACCGTTACCAAAAGCAAGTTGGGGGAGGAAAGCGTTTGTTTGGCCCGTACTGGTCATCGAAGGAAGTCGGGACAGGAACTCAAGCAGGACGGGAACCTGAAAGCAGGAGCCATGGGAGGGAGCTGCTCACTGGCTCTGCTCCTCAAGGCTGCTCAGCCTGCTACCTTACAGAGCCCAGGACCACCAGCCCAGGGATGGCCCCACCCACAATGGGCTGGGCCCTCCCACGCCAATCACTGATTAAGGAAGTGCCCTCCAGCCCGATCTTACAGAGGGAGGCATCTTCTTAGTTGGGGTTCCCGTCCCTCAAATGACTCTAGCCTGAGTCAAGTTGGCACAAAACCCAGCCGGCACGGGGCGGGAGACAAGGGGAGAGCGGGGCACACATGCCCTTGGAGTTCCCAGGGTCGGTCTCTCCTCTGCAGGGCGCGCGAGGAGTTCCTTTGGTGGTGGGGTGCTCTTCTGATGCTGGGGTAAGAACCCAGTTGGGATATAGCCCAGAGTGGGAGCAGCTCTGGCAAAGCAGGGTGGCCGAGGGCCGTAGGGCGGGCGTAACACGAACGATAGAAGACCCAGAGACCAATATTGGGGCTCAAACTTCAAGCTGAAGATCAGAGAAGCAAAGCAGCCGGCCACCAGCTCTCACCTCTAGGTCAGGCTGAAAGGGCCGGTCCGCGGCGAGCTCCACCAAGTCTCACACCGCTGCCTCTCCCCAGTGTGGCTGGAGAACCGATGCCTCTCTGGGACCTTGCTTTTCTGTCTTATATACTTCCCCGATGTTGGGATTAGAGGTGTGAGCTATAATTCTCTTTTAGACTGATCTGCTCCTGTGTAGGTGGCCTTGGGCTCACCGAGGTCTCTTAATCCCGTGTCCTGGGATTGAGGGTGTGTACCACCGCCTCCTAGATTCTGGCTGCTGGGATTAAAGGTGTGTGTGTGTGTGTGTGTGTGTGTGTGCGCGCCTGGCTTCTATGGCTTGTTGCTGGCTTTGCTTTCTGAATCCTCAGGCAAGCTTTAGGAAGTCACAAACAGTATCTCACCATAGGTGGGGTGGAGGGAGACATCTTAACAGGAAGCTGCTCAGAGTGAAGATGGAACTTAAACACTACTATGGGTGTGAGAGACCCCTGGCTTCTGGGGAGGGTGTCCCCGGGAGTGGGGGAACCGAAGAGAATGCCTTCAGTGTCCCTACCGGGAGGTCTTGAAGGGCTGGGGCAAAAACTGGGTGGTGACTCTGGGAAGAGTTTCCCCAGGGCTATTCTGGAAGTCCATGGTGTGGATGAAGGAAGGCGTTTCCTTGGGAGTGAGTTGGTGAGCACCAGACCCTTTGGGCTGGGATGAAGACCTTTGACCCTCACAGGGGCAGGCTGAAGGAAACCCCATTGCGGAGACTAAGCTGTAGGCATTGGTTCTAAGAGATTCCCATGACTTTGCAGCAGTCGGGCTGTCTCCCATCCAGACGGTGAAGGTGTCGGTGTCTGCAGTCACCCTTGGCCTGGGCGTCATCATCTTCTGTCTTGGCTTTTTCAGTTGGCGGAAGTCTCGCCTCTCCAGTGAGTGACCCCCTGAGCCTCCCCCCACACCCAGCCCTCCTCTCCTTCTCCCCCTCCTTCTCCTCCTCCCCCCTCCTCTTCTCCCTCCCCCTCCCCCCCTCCTCCCCTCCCCCTCCCCCTCCCCCTCTTTCTCCTCCTCCTCTTCCTCTTTCGCCTCCCCCTCCCCCTTCTCCTCCCTCTCCCCCCTCCTCCTCCTCCCCCTCCCCCTCCCTCTCCTCCTCCCTCTCCTCCTCCCTCTCCCCCTCCTCCCCCTCCTCCTCCCTCTCCTCCTCCCCCTCCTCCTCCAGTCTCTCACTTTCTGTCTGTGATCAGTTCCCTCATTCCCAAGTCTTCTGTTAAACAGGACTGAGGAACGCTGGTTTCTCCCATCCACAAGGACTGGTCTAATCGGTATCTTTCTCTTCTAGGCTACATTCCTCTCCCTGGATCTACTTACCCGGAAGGTAACATTTCTGTTGGCCTGGGGCTCATGGGTCCTCAGAAGGGGCAGGGTTAATCGTCCACACAGTAAGGACCATTTGACAGAGGGGGTGGTTTAACGATAGACCTCACTCTAGCTCCCCCTCCCTCCTCTCAGAGCACCCGAGGGGAGGGCTGGAGGTGGGTAGTGCCTCTGTCTTAGTCATTGGCGGCTGGGTATTTGCATTATCAGTGTCCGGAGGGCTCTGGCATCAGGTGGTGACAGTGGCACACAGATGTTGGGTCTGTCGGAACGTCACCTGTCTCTGTCTGGCTCCTACTGTCTGCAGGACGGCACTAGAGAGACAGAATCCACACTGAGGAGATCATCGAGGATGCCTCCGTGGCCGCTAGCATCTTCAGGACACTCTCGTCTGTTCCTCCGCTCAGTTCCCCTTCCCCGTGTAAATATTAGCAGCTTGGGGGTGCTCATAACGAAGTCATTGTCCCCGGCTGTTTTCCGAGGTCGGTGGATCTGAGGAAGAGTTTGAGGCCCTCCAGAAGAAGGAACCTGAGGGCCTCTGGAAGAGGGGACCCAAGACCCTCTGGGAGAGGGGGTTCAAGGGCAGTATGTTGTAAGCGACCACGCGTAAAAAATAAACCAGTGGGATTTACTGGCCTTCCTCAAATTTGTCGGGGGGGGCTTTGGAGGAGGGGCTGTGGCAGAGTGTGGCTGAAGCTCCTCCTGTGACACAGACAGTGTCACCTCCCGATTTCCCATCTGCGCGGAACGACTGCAGCAGCTTTCGAAATCATAATTAGTGAGAAGAAATTGAGAGATAGCCACCACGAGAGGGAGGGAGGGGCTAACAGCTTAGCTCCTTTTGAAACTGCATTTTATTTACTCTGTGCGTGGGGGGGGTGAGTGCGTGCCTGCAGGCATGTGTGCACATATGTGTTTGTGTGTGTGTATGCCTGTGTGTGAGTGTGTTTGTGAGTATGGACGTGTGCATGTGAGGGCTCTTGCCACTAGAGGTCAAAGGACAGTTTGCAAGAGTGGGTTCTCCCCCCACTGTGTGGTTCTCTCCTCCCATTCTGTGGTTCTCTCCTCCCATTCTGTGGTTCTCTCCCCCCACTGTGTGGTTCTCTCCCCCCACTGTGTGGTTCTCTCCCCCTACTGTGTGGTTCTCTCCTCCTACTGTGTGGTTCTCTGCCCCTACTGTGTGGTTCTCTCCCCCTACTGTGTGGTTCTCTCCCCCTACTGTGTGGTTCTCTCCCCCTACTGTGTGGTTCTCTGCCCCTACTGTGTGGTTCTCTGCCCCTACTGTGTGGTTCTCTCCCCCTACTGTGTGGTTCTCTCCCCCTACTGTGTGGTTCTCTCCCCCTACTGTGTGGTTCTCTGCCCCTACTGTGTGGTTCTCTCCCCCTACTGTGTGGTTCTCTCCTCCCATTCTGTGGTTCTCTCCTCCCATTCTGTGGTTCTCTCCTCCTACTGTGTGGTTCTCTCCCCCCACTGTGTGGGTTCTAGGGGTTGAACTCGGGTCACTGGCCTGGCCTCAGGTGCCTTCACTCCCAGATCCACCCTGCCAGCCTGTAAGCGATCTTCTGAGGGGTAAATGAGTTCATTCCTGTAAAGAGCCAAGAGTGTGCCCAGCATTCCGGGAGCCCGCAGTAGTGGCCGTTTTTGCTGCTTCTCAGTGTTCAGGTTGTTTCTCCCACAATGTGACAGGGAAGGGGCGATCACATCTTTAGGAGAGGGGACTGTCAGGTGATGCCTGCTTACCAATGGAGATGCAGCTGTTGTACAAAGTTGGTTTGTGGACTTGCTTTCGGAATTAGAGCTGGGAAGTCAGCGGCCAGCAAGAAAAAGAAACGTGTCACCGGAGAGACGGCTCAGTGGCTAAGATCACTGGCTGCTCTTTCAGAGGACCCGGATTCAGTGCGCAGACAAATATGCAAGCAAAACACCCGTGCACAGGAATGAGTAAATTAATACCAAAAATCACAAACAGGCAACCCAAGGAATAAAAAGAAATGGAGGTAAACCAGGAAGGAGTTTCCCCCAACAGGATTGTGGCGGTAGAGCAATGGGCAGTGGACACATTTGTATGTGGGCATCTGTGTGGGAACCCTGGAGACCAGGGTCTAAAGGGCGAGGGGAACAACTCAGAAGACAAACTGTGGACTCTCACCATGGCAGGTGTGGGAGGGCAGGAGGTCACCAGGCTAGACCCCTTTGCCCTAGACAGTTTCCATGTGTGTGAGGCCTGGGAGAGGGAGTGTAGCCATCAACGTGAGACTCGACACCCAAAGTCACCGCGTTTCCCCCAACAATGATCCCCACTCCAGTCACAGTTTTCTCAGGAGGACCCTGGTGACCAGGGCGTGGCATCTCCTCTGCCAAAAGGTGCAGAAATCAAGGGGAGGGGAAAGCGTTAATTAATTCAAGTGGATCTGGGTGAGGCTCGCAGGGGGTGGCTGGGGAGGTGGGAACTGAACCCAGGTCCCGTCGGAGCACAGTGATCTTAACTGCGGAGCCATCTGTCTGGTGGCAGACACTTTGCTGTAGTGCTCCCTACATCCCCCCCCCCAAGCCTAGCTGCTCATCCTGAGGTTGGCTTCATTTACTTCACTTTTACTCAAGGTTTGTATATACTTTTTATGAAGCACAGACATGCATTTTTATTTTTGCTCTCTTGTGTTTTCTTGCCCTCTCTGTCTCTGTGTGTGTGTGTGTGTGTGAGAGAGAGAGAGAGAGAGAGAGAGAGAGAGAGAGAGAGAGAGAGAGAGAGAGAGAGAGAGAGAGATGCAGATTCCTTACTCTGGAGCGGGGTTCCTCACTCTCTTTTTCTGGAACACGGCATCTATGTGTGGTTTCCAGTTTTTGTTTTCGTTGGCCTCTTTCACTGCTCGAGTTCAGAACTTCGCTCTGCTATTCTTATCTTTTCGTTTCCTTCCTTCTTTGGCCGGCACGGTCCCTCTTCACCTGTGCTCAGATCACGTGACTCTAACTTTTTTTTATAACTCTGGTTCCTGATAATTGTATTTAAAGGTGACCATTTCCCTGTACGATCTGTTTCCACCATACCCACTGCAATGCCTTTCTGCCGTTTTTTCTTTCCACAAGCCCCCCGCCCCATTTAGCAGCAGAATTGTGCTAATTTCTCATAGTAGTGTTTCAGTTTTTATTTATTTCTAAGCAGCTTTTGGTGTTTTAACTCAAAGGTTGTGGTATCTTGAGCTTTTCATTTTGAAAGACATTTCAAACTTGTAGAAAAGTTGTAACAAGACCGAGAAATCTTGGGCTGACTAATTTGACCTCTACACCACACACAAAACCTGTTTTTCTTTTTTCTTTTTTTTTTTTGTGGCTTTTGGAGGCTGTCCTGGAACTCGCTCTATAGACCTTGAACTCACAGAGATCCCCCTGCCTCACACACACAACTCTTACTTTACTTTTTCCCGGTTCAAATTCCGATCATTTTGCCTTACTTTTAAAACTTGTTTTAAAAGATGTGTTTATTTTATGTGCATGAACATCTTGCCCGCATGTTGGCAACAGATATGAGCCCTGTGTGTCTCTTTAGGTGGATGTTGGTGAATTCCTTCTGGACCTCCCTTTGGCTTGGTCAATGGTTCGTTGGTTCATCCTGAGCTGGATTCCCGGACACTGCCCTTGGTTCTCAGGGTGTTTGCAGGCTAACACGCAGCCCCTTTCTACATCTAAGAGACCGTGAGAGGCTGGCCTGGTGTGAGCCCCTAGGGAGCTGCGTCCACAAACAGTGCATAGATCTGATGTGAAACACAGATCCTTCCCACCGGCGTACGGCCTGTGGGGACAGAGATTCAACAAAGGGGAAAACGCTTGGGTGTTGAAACAGTTTGCTGCTCTGTAGACCAGGCTGGCCTTTCAAACGCAGAGATCCGCCTGCCTCTGCCTCACTAGTGCGGGGACTAAAAGGCGTGCGCCACCACCGCCCGGCTCAGGCTGGCCTTTCAAACGCAGAGATCCGCCTGCCTCTGCCTCACTAGTGTGGGGACTAAAGGCGTGCGCCACCACACCTGGCTCACATAGATCTTAAAACATTTCTTTCACGTTATGACGCTTTTTAAAGATCCCCATGGCATATTTTACTGTGTAGTAAGGATGCTGGTTGTGAGGGCTGGAGGGTGACATCCCGCCACTAACCGCAGTTTTGTTTTGATTGTTGCTGACCAGAACCTGTAACTTTATTCAAAACAAGTCTTCATGTTTGAGAATATTCAAATTTTCACTACCTCCCCAAAGGGCTCCCTTATTGTCTACTATAATTTGGCTTAAGACACTTCCAGATTTTAGATGGACAGGGCCCTATTTTAGACCTGCCTAAGGGAACCCCCAGGAAGGGTAATGACCTAAACTCCTAGAACCAAAACCAGTCATTACTACTAAGAAACAGTGTTAATGCCAGGCGTTGGTGGCGCACACCTTTAATCCCAGCACACGGGAGGCAGGGGAAGGCAGATCTCTGTGAGTTCAAGTCCAGCCTGGTCTACAGAGCGAGTTCCAGGACAGCTTCCAAAACAAAACAGAGAAACCCTGTCTCGGAAAAAAAAAAAAAAGAAGAAGAAGAAAAGAAAAGAAACAGTGTTAACTATGTCAGGCCAACTGGATCACTTTGTTCCTACTGGTATTAATAACGCTAAGATAATGTACACTCTACCAGTGGGGCCAAACGCTCCGAAACTCCAGGACACGTCAGACATCTGTCTTCCTCGGAGCCACTTAAGCTCTGTTGACTGTTAGTGAAGCCCCAGAAATCTGGGTCATCCCCCTTTATCCTAATTATACAGATCAACCACTCTCTAACGACTGAAGCGACCCTGGTGGGTTCACCGAAACAGGCCAAATGCTATCCGTGGATTCAAGGAGACCTTTCTCGGGGTGTATGTACAAGGCCAAAATAGGCTTTCTAAAAAAAAAGGTCGTCAGACCAGAGAGATGGCAGAGTAGGCTAAGGAGTTTGACCCCAAGCCCGATGACCCGAGTTCCATCGCCAGGGCCCTCAGGGTGGAAGAAGGCACCCACTCACATGCGGTTAACATAGCTACACAAATGACATGTTTAAAGGGGCCACATTAGAGAGCAGAGGTAGCTATAAAAACCACAGAGAACAGAGGTAGCTGTAAAAGATTGTAACCTAAAGCAGAGTGTGGTGGCACACGCCTTTAGTCCCAGCACTCGGGAGGCAGAGGCAGGCGGATCTCTGTGAGTTCGAGGCCAGCCTGGTCTACAAGAGTGAGTTCCAGGACAGCCTGAGCTACGTAGGGAGACCCTTTTAACCCGATCAACCACCTTGAGTCTCCCCTCCAAGTCTCATTTAGGCCAGGCTAGCCTGGAGGTCTCTAGGCAGCAAGGATGACCCTGAGCTCCTGACCCCCCCATCTAGAGATCGAACCCAGAGCTTCCTGCACACCAGGAGGGCAGTCCACCAACTGAGCCACACCCTCCCCCTCCCTCCAAGACTGCTCCTCTGCAAGCTCAGCTCCATCCCTTTCAGACTGTGAAGACACGCCTTCCTGGCACTGTGGCCAGAATCATGTAAGCAGAAAGTCTAACATCCCTTCCCAGGCTTGCGTTTGTGGGAGATCCAAACCCAGACTCCTGGAACTGGTTAGCGGCCTGAATAGAATT